CTGTAGAACATATCCGATACCTAGGGCTCCAGCTGGACAAACGTCTCACTTTGAATCCTCATACAAGACTGAAACGACAAGAAACTGCTCGACGTTTCCGCTTACTCCAATACTTACTGAACAAATCCTCTAAACTTCCGATTAATTCATCATCATCATATGTGGCACGACATCCCGTTACCGAGACTGGGCCTCCTCCAAGAGCCTCCGCCAGTTGGCTCTGTATTCTGCTGCAGCTCTCCAGTTCCGTACACCAAGCAGGGTTCTCGCATCATAGGCCACATTGTCCAACCATCTCGTCCTCGGCCTTCCTACCCGTCTTACGAGGTGCAGCTCCTCCATCATTATTTTCTTTGGTATTTCAACGGTGCTCATTCTGGCCACATGCCCTGCCCACCTTAGTCTGGCCAGTTGAATATACGTGACTACGTCGATGTCTGTATAAAGAGAACTGAGCTCCCTATTTTTTCTTTTCCTCCAGACATCACCCTCCTTTACTGGACCATAAATCCTTCTGAGGACTCCTCGCTTAAACACACTCAGCTTCATCTCATCGTTTTTAGTCATCGTCCAAGCCTCTGAGCCATTGTCAAAACAGGCCGAACAAGGGTCTTTTATATGATCAGCTTGGTCTTCTTTGAGAAGTACCTACTTCTTAAGTGTCGGCCAAGTCCAAAGACACATGTATTGGCAGCCGTGATCCTTCTCTATATTTCTTGAGCCATGTCATTTTTGCTATTAATTTCAGACCCAAGGTATATAAAACTTTTCACTCTCTCAAACTTAAAAGAACCTACCTCAAATGGAGAGTTCAGATCCACCTCACCACCAACTCTCATATACTTAGTTTTCCTCTAGAGAAGATTGACTAAGAACATTATTTGGCCAATTATTTATTATATACGAGAGACGGATTATGTAATAGATGAGAAACTAGTGTGGATTGTATGAACATTATCTTTAGTAGGAGAGCAAAAGTAAATAAATAAAAAAAATCTATATTATAATTACAACCTAGGACTCCATCTGGACAAACGTCTAACTTGAAATCCTCATACCAGACTGAAACGACAAGAAACAGCTCGACGTTTCCGACTACTTCAACACTTACTAGACAAACGCTCTAACCGTCCAATCAATTACAAACGACTAATATAGATGACTATAATAAGACCTATTTGGACTTATGGAGTTGAGATATGGGGATCCACTAAACCATCAAATTCCTCTCGTATCCAATCTTTACAATCCAAAATCCTTCGTTAAATCCTCAATGCTTCTTACTTTGTCACAAATAAAATAATCCATAAAAACCTCAATATTCCATATGTTTCTGATTTAGCCGAATCCAGATACCTATCCTTTCATAATAAACTTTATAACCATCCGAATCCTCTTGTTTCTAACCTTGCTTCCTCTTCGATTCCTGATAACCCTCAGAGGCGTCTGAAAAGAAGATGACCTCGTGATCTCCTCATGTAGACAAATTATTAGAGTGCTACCAATGGGTAGTTTCTCAACAAGCGTGTTTCATGTGATTATATTCCTCTGTACACATTTACTTGATGTATTCATACTAATACAGTTGTAAATATTATAATAAAAGTTTTTAAAAAAAATAGGATTACTTTTAGACAAAAGACTAACTTGGAACCCACATACCAGACTTTAAAGACAAGAACATAACCGACAATTTGGCCAGCTATACAGACTACTTAACAGAAAATCCTTACCTTTACACTCCTTACCTATTATTAACTTTACACTCCAACGCAATTCCTGTCCACCAGTACATTTTAATTCCATCCAGCTTCCTTACTCACAGTCCGGTATCTTGGCTTTCATTTAGGCCGAATACTAACATCGAACCAACATACTAGACTCAAAAGACAAGAACTCAACCGACTCTATACGGCCAGCTCTTCAGACTACTTAACAGAAAATCCAATCTCTCAATAGAAAACAAACTATTAATATACAAGACCATACTCAAACCCATCTGGACCTACGGACTTGAACTGTGGGGGACAACTAAATTTTCGAAGATCAAACGCATCCAATCCTTTCAGTCTAAAGTCCTCCGTATAATATTCAATGCTCCTTATTATGTTACAAACAAAATCTTACATCATGATCTTTACATTCCTTATGTCCTCGCCGTTATTCCATCCCGATTCTCAAATTTTCACCTGAACCTAATCCACCATCCTAACCCCTTAGCACAATCCTTATCTAGCTCCAGTCATCCCTACAATCCTCCTCGAAGGTTGAAACGGCAGTGGCCTCGAGATCTTTTGTAAAGACGTCACTGGAGTTCTGGCAATGGCCAGCTTCTCAACTCAAGTCATGAGTGTTTGTGGCTTTAGTGCCCTCTCTCAGTCTCCACCGGACTGGTAATGCCGGCGACGCGGCTGAGAGAGAACCGCTGGGATCTCCTAGAGTCTCGCTTTGTCCTTCACAAGTGGGGAAAGGGCTGGACTCGGAGATCTCTTGCCTGATTGTAAATTTAATTAAGTATGGATATTTTTCTATTTATTTCTTTTACTTATCATTTATTTAATTTTTTACGAATTTCTGTATTTTATCTAATTTTAACTCTTAGAAACATTTCCTTGGTTTATTATATTTTTTACGTTTGTTATATAGATGTATAATTTTTTTTATTATTATTATTTTTATTTATTTTTTTTTTTATTGTATTGTATATGTGGCATGAATGTGCCTCACTTAGCTATAGTACTCAGTGCCCTTAAGTGTGGCAAAATGTATTATTTCTCGATAAAAAGATATATAAAAAAAAAATAATTGAATGCAATAAGTTTCATGAAGCAGGGGTGCCCCCCTCATTAATTTGATGGCGCAACTTGCGCCATAAAACTCTCATCTGGGCACCCCTGTCATGTAGTAAAAACTGACACCATTCCGGTATTCTTAAAAGTGAGATTTTGAGTGCTTCTGAAGAGTGTACCCAGCGAATATTTGTTGACAGAGGTGTATTTTTGATTCTTCTAGGAGTCTATATTTGAATACTACAAGATTCATACACAATTAAATTATAAAAATGTTTGACATTCATAAAGGTGGAATTTTGAGACCTTTTTTGTAGTCTGTATTTAAATGCAGCAAGTTTCATGCAGTATGAAATGACAACATTGTTGTCAAAAAGTCAGATTTTGAGTTGCGTCTAAGCGCTTACCTATCGGGTATTCGATGGCAGACGCGTGTCTTTGGTCCTTTTTTTGGAGTCTATATTAAAATGCAAGAAGCTTTATGCAGTATGAAATGACAACATTTATGTTTAAAAAAAAAACAGATTTTGAGTTGCGTCTAACGCGCGTACCCATCGGTTATTCGGCCAGTGGGAAGACTGGCTGCTGCAGATAAATGGAGATTTATGGGTTTACCTATAGAAGTAGTCGATACCTATAAATATTTGGGTGTCGCGCTAAGCTCCAGTCTTTCATTTACTTACCATTTGAGAGATCGTACATCGGCTGCTGAAATGGACCTTAATAGGAATTGGTCAAGTTTCATTGCTCAAGATCTGATTCCACTATTCGCGAAAAAAAATTAGTCTGGTGTTTTCAGGGATATGACATATTGTTTAAAGTTTCAGAGATTTTTCATTAAGACATTGTTTTCGTTGCCTTCAATGACACCAAATTAAATGATTTATTTAGAAGCAGCCACAAATCCAAAAAAGTAAGCGTAAGGTGGCCACCCTTAAGGTTCAGTCAGTGCCTCATTTGGAATTTAATGCTGCTCTTCTTGCCTCCATACTACTTGCAAGCATTGGAAAACTTAAAAGTCGTTTGGAGACTAATGAGGTATATTGCTTTTCGGATTCTCGTAATGTTCTCTATTGGTTACAGACACCACCTCATGAACTTCAGATTTATGTTGTCAATTGCATAGTCCAGATTTTAGAAGTAACAAAACCCAGTTGTTGGCACAGCGGATTATTTATCGAGAGGTCTCACACCACACCAGATACTTTCTCATAATTATTATTTAAAGGTCCAGCATTAATTATGTTACCTTCTTCTGACTGGCCTATTTACCATATTGAACCTCTATCCGTTCTGCCTGAAATTAAAACAATATCTCCGTTAACGGCTGAAAAATTAAATGATTTATTGATTTACCTGGAAAAGTATTCATGCCTTCTGAAGTTTTTTTTTTTTAAAAAGGTTTTTGCTTGTATTTTGAAATGTATTAAACATTGCTAAAATTGGGAACACAGTGTTTTGGCTGCTGGACCCTTAACAACTGGTGAGCTTAAAGATTCATATCAGACATATTCAGAGGAAATACTTCACTGACTTAATTGATAGTATCAACAGTGACAAACCATATAAGTGTTTCTTATACAGGCTCACTCCATTTTTTAGTAAGGACAGAGCTCTCAAGGTGGGAGTTAGATTAAAGTATTCAACAATTTCTGAGAATAGTAAAGAACTTGTAACTAAAATAGTAACCCGCTGCTGACACGGAAAGATTCGTATTTAGCAGTCCTATTGTGTGATTACCACAGGAAGACCTAATGACTTGCTAGTTGCTTCGAAATAATCTTTCTTGCTGATAATATGGTCTTCACCATCATAAACCTCCATCGTCCCCTTAATATCATCCAAACTGCCCCAGCATTTGACCCCCTTTTAGCAGCTTCTTGAAATATTCTATTCATCTGTCTACTATATATTCGTTTAGCCATAAAATAAGTACTGATCCTTGTTTTCTTTCCCGAGATTTTGGCAATTCCTACCTCGTTCACTACATGTATTTTTACAATTTTCAGCTCCAATTTCGCATTTTCTCTCATTTTGATACCAAATACTGACAATTAGTTCCAGTTACCAAGAAGAACATACAGCGTCGCAATTTTCATCATTCTTTGTGCAGAGAGAATAAAGCATTAAATGTTAAAATTTCCTATTTTTATATGGTATGGTCCAACCTCCAAACAAAATAATGCAAATTATTTTTTATTAGTGATATATGATGTTTATTAAACAACCCGGCAACTATTCATTCTATGTAATTCAGATTAATTATACTTTAACTTATAAAACAGTTATTAATACGGCTCATTTCCTGGAAAGTATATACAATTTAACTAACATCAAAGAATCAGTAAATATACAAAACAAAGTGTTAAATTGCAAACATTGAATTGAAAATTCAAGATATTCAGCTAAGTATTTTTGAATTAAGTTTTATTATTATAATTATATCATTTTTACAATAGAATCATTCTTAAACTACCTACTAGAATAAAGGAAGTAATATTAAAAAAAAAATCTATGCACCAGCTCAGTATATCTGATCTACTAACGTCCCCAAACTTAATAAAATGAAGAACTGATAATAAACAATATAAAAAAAATATATAAACCATAAAAAGTGGTACTCTTGGTTGGACTCTCAGATGGCTATTTGGCTATCAGGCAGTTTCTAGTGTTGCAGATAGTGAGGAGAGTGAATTACAAATATGCAAGTATCCCATTAATTAATAAATTATTTACCCATCAATTAATAAATGTAAGGAAGCATTTACATCAAATTTAAATTAAAGATTTTCCAGACAGTCCCCTTTGCAACAGCATAGAACACCTATACATGTTTGACACTTGAGGATATAAGAACAAACTTTAAAGATAAGGATAGAATTTATGATAAAATGACTAAATTATATTGGGCTACTAGAGGAAGTATAGCTGAATAAGCTGTGATTCTGGTATAAGAAAAAAAAATCTTTATATGCTGTATTTGGTTAATAAATGTATTTATGAACTGTCAACGCTCACAAATTCAAACCTCTCTCTATAAATAAAATTTAAAAACTTCCATTTTCCCTTTAGAAAAGCTCTTTAAATCGAAGAAAATTAATGATATAAAACCCCCTGGATATTATATAAAATGACAAAAGGATCCTTTGTAAATAGAACTAGATTCAAGCACTATCTCTATAGTTCCAAATCAGCGATGTTTATTTTTGTTTATAAAGTCAATACTTTTCCTAAAAAGAATTTTCTTTCAGATAGTACTATTATATGTTTTGCTATAATTATGAAGGATTGAAGGTAACGAACCACATAAATACACTATATTTGCATATATCAATTGAAAAAAATATATGGTTCAACATCAACAACTTTTTATTACAATAAATTTTAAATAATGGAAAAAGTGCAGTTTTCTTAAACAACTTTTAATGGTAAGAAATAAACCTGAAATGGCGAAATTCATACACTGATAATCACTTAATACACCCTAACCTATGTTTTTTAATCATAATTCATTATTAATAGATTCTTGACTCAAGACTTTAAACTTTATCAGATATTGTCATTAAACATTTACTACCATATGGCCCAATCAATAAGTCGTAAATGATATTCTAGAAACAATGACAAAAAGAGCAATCAGGTGGAAAAACACCACAAAGTAAGAATTATAATTATGCTACCTTTATATTAATTTTTACAGACATATGTAGATCACTTTTTAAACAGTGCTAAAACTTCCTCTTGATAGTTTCACTTCAATTATTTATATAAACCAATTCAGTTCTTCAAGCTTATCAATAATAAAATAAATTAATTAAAACATATTCATATAGCTTATAAAAAGGTTCGCAATATTCATGAGTATGGACAGTAAATTTATATATACAAACATACATGAATTTGCATAAATAATAGTTTATTTGATACAGCCGAACTTGGATAATTAATGCTGAAAGACCCACATACAAACATAAAAAGTATGAGTCACCCAATAATTTAAGTTATGATTGAAATATTTAGTTTTTTTAAAAGCAGAATATAAATCTGTTCAAACCAATAGGGAAAACTCTGCCCACTTATTTGGGCTTTTTTTTTTTTATTGGTGGCAATTTTTAAAAAAATATTTCATGATCTTCAACACAAAGTTTTAGGTGGAATACTAAAACTCTTAAGCGATTCCTAACTGCTTTTTATACACTTTTTTATTTCAGATGATTTTTATTCAGCTCTTAAGCTTAATGTTTAGAGGATTTGTTTTCATTTGATATTGTCTCATTAAAATTTTATAAGCCTCATTGTTGTTGAGAAGAAAAAAAAAATTGTTCAAATAGATCAGAAATCATACAAATAAGAAATGTATTTTATAAAATAATGTAAAGAATATGGTATTATTTTTAAGAACTGCAAGTGGGGACAGCTGTAATGATTTATTTACTTTATTTCATCGTTCCTAAGTAATATTAAAGCTATCCAATAGAAAATACACAATCTGCAGAAAAAAAATTCAAATTGTTCAGTTAGGTTACTGATGAGGCAAAGAAAAAATTCATCATCTAAGTTATTCAAGTTCAACTGCAGTTAAAATATAAAGATTGATAGAAAAAAGTTATCAAAGTTAATGTATTTAACTTCATGATAAAAAATGTAAGATAGTAAAATAAAAATTGGAAATAATGAATTTCATTAATAATATTAAACACCTTCAATTATTAAAATGAATGAAGTTATAAAATTTAGATTTAAAAAAAATTAATAGTAGTTTTAAAATATTCATCACTATATTTGTTGTAAAACTACGTTCGATTTTATGAAAAATACTATTTAAGACTCATAACTTAGGCAACTATTTTTTTTAAAACAATTTAAACAGCATTAAAAATTTTAAGCCTTCTTTAAATCGTAAATCAATCACAAGTTCACAGCTTCAAAATATTTAATGCCATGAAGCACCAATAAAACTTAAATAATCACGTAGAATAACAAATTAATAGAAAATGATAGAGGTAGTCATCATGGCTACTAATAATGCATTATCAAGACCACCACCAAGAAATAAAGAATTTCCCCCTTAAACATTGTGAACATTTTTTAAAGTTACATACCCAGTGAAATAGTAGCAAAAAGGGATATTAGTGGAATTTCACTTTTTGACTAACTTTAAAAAATGATAATTTATTTTAATGTAAAAGATTTTACATTAAAAAATAAATTTACATTAAGTATTATGGCCTAAATAAAAATCTTATGTAAATCTAATTTCTATCAAATCACAACATGTACTTCATAGTACCATATTAACTTTCACAACTTAAGGCCTCCTTAATAAGCTTTACAAATGATATTTTACAACTCTTAACTGCAGTAAACAGTGTATCTAATAGTATAAAACAAAAAATATATTATATAAAAGTCTTGAAGAGTACCTTTGCTAAATAAATAAGCAAATAAAATAAGGTACCATTACTTATTAAAGATGCTCCAGTTACATTTTTGAAAGCTTTTGTGGTATTTTAAAATAAGGCAAATTTGGTGACTATTGCAACAGTCTCTTAAAATGTATTATATTCAAAATATCACTTAAATATTGAAATTGAACATCAAATCACTGGGTACTTTGTAGCTTTAATAAAATTAGCTCTTTTCATCAATAATTAAAATTGCATCATATGAACAAGAATAAACATTGGAAATGGCAAAAGACCAATGTTTTGTAATTACAAATATAAATCATATCATTGAACAAATTTTATTTAATAACCCGTAAATACAAAAATGTTAAAATTCACAAAGTCCACATCAGTTTTGATTATATCACTCAACACTATCATTTTCTTCTTCTTCATCCTCTTCATCTTCATCGTCTTCTTCCTTTTTGGTAGGATTTAAAGCAAGATTTGTGAATTTACCTTTCTTTTTGTACTCAGTCATCTCCTGCAATTAAAAAGATAGTTTAGAATATCCCTAATTATGCATACAAGAAGTTATCATATATATATATATATATATATATATATATATATATATATATATATATATATATATATTCTTTTAAAATCAAATGTAGGCTGTGATTGTAATAATATAATGCACTGAATAACATGGAAATTTCAATATCTATTGATAAATAATATTGGAGCACCACATTTTACAGGTAGTCAATAAAAACTTAATCAATAGGTAGTCAATGTGAGGTAGTCAATGTGAGGTAGTCAATGAAAACTTAATCAATAGGAGCTTACGAATCAAACTTGGCAAAATTTCCTCAAGATACTAAAATTTTGAAAAATAATTTAATTATTCATTCATGAGAGTGCTCCCCTTCATTTTCAAGGAGATAAAAGTACGCAGACACGATTTTGAAATTTTTTCTCAATGTTTTATTTGGGTTAGGTTTTTTTTTTTTCAGATCAATCAAACCAGTCTATATCTATATAATTTCTATATAATATCTATATAATTTAATAAAATAAGTCCTCCAAGTTTAAGAGGGGAAAATTGAAAGAAATCAAAGGTAAAGACAAGTTTCAGCTGGTAATGACCGCACTACTTAGGACAAGACAAAAATTAATTCAGCAAAATATTTATTAAATGATGTAGCTATTACCAGCTGAAACTTTGACATCATAAATATTTTGGAGAAAAAACATAATTTTAAAATTAATATTTAAGGAACAGGCACTCCAGTTATCAAAGTATTTATGAATTTTAAATAACCCTTAAAATATAAAATAAATGATTTGGAATAATGTTACTGAAATTTATACAATTAAATATTAAATAATACCAAAGCTGTAATTTATGAAAACTGACATTTATATGTCATATTATTATCAGAGCCCGCATCTACCTCATCTATGATATATCATATAAGTTTTGGAAGCCTTTCCTAACATTTCATCTAAGCTCGAACCATGCCTGTGTTTCTTTGGTCATGCTCAGTACCACACTACAATCCTTCTCTTTTGGTTAATCAACAAATTCTTTCATAGTTTATATCCGTGTTGGCCTTATGGTGGAGCAACTTGGGCAATCGCCTCGGAGTGTCGACCTGGAAGGATGCCAGGTTGATCACGAGGGGCACCTACCACTTGTTAGTAATCATAAAAAATTACATAATCTAATATTAAATATAATACTAAATTATTTGAATTAGAGATTTATTGAATCAAATACACTTGAAATTTAAAATAACAATTTAAGAAATTAATTTTAAGTTGTACCGGGAAAATTTTTCTACAAAATAAGTGGACTTTCATGGAAGACAGATAAAATAAGATTTGTATGGTAAACAAAAGATTCAGTTGCTCCATGGAGGGGAGAAAAGAGCGACAAAGACACCATTGTTCTTAACTTAAAATTGTTTGTTAGATTCTGTTGGAGTAAACAGAAGGTTATAGGTTTGCATCTTATTCTGGACCAGTAAATTTTCTTTGTAATGCTATTTTGTCGATAAAATATGAACTTAAAATAATTATAAAACTTATTATTAGAAACATTTCTGACTGATTTTATTGCCATATTTTTATTTTATTTTGAAAGAATTTAAAGATGGACTACTTTTCAGTTTTACACATTTCACATCCTGTTCTAACTGTTCCAATCAGAATTAGATTTGAAATATTATATATATATATATATATTAAATTAATGATTAAGACAATACATGTAAGTTAGATAATTTAAACTTTAGTTGTATCATTGGTATGATTTAATGTTAATCTTGAAATTAGATTATAGACTTTTGATATTTTTATGTTTTGGCTTCTGTTATCAAAATTTGTTTGGACTACTTTAATGATTTCTTATATTTTGTCATTTATTTCTTCTATCAAGTGAATTGTTGTGTAAATTAATTGAAGTTCAGAAATTATGTTAAGATGCAAAATTTTAAAAATATAGTTGTTAAAAATATAGATCCATTTAATAATATATATATATTTTTTTTATTATTATTTTTTTTTTTTTTCCGGTTGGCTCTACAGACCTTGTAGATCTTTGGCCGCCTGAACCAGCCCTCTCCACCTCTGCCTATCTTGGGCTACTGCTTTCCAGTTTGCTGCATGAAGCTCAGCCGTATCTTTGTTTATCCTATCTATCCATCTGGTTTTTGCCCTCCCACGTGGTCTCTTGTCTACTGCTCTGGCATTCATTGTCGTGTAGAGGCGTCCTGATGGATTACTACGAGCTACATGCCCTGCCCATCTTAACCTCCTTGCCTTCATGTCATGAGATATTGACTGACCAGTTTCTTTCAACAGTTCTTTATTGTTCCTTCTCCTCCATGTGTCAAGGTTCTGGTCCCATATAGGTCCTGTTATCCTACGTAGAACTTTTCTTTCGAATCTCTCAATTCTGGCTTCTAATGTGCCGGTTAGAGCCCAGGTTTCACAACCGTACAGCAGAACTGGCTTAATCACGGCGTTGTACACCTTATTTTGAGATTTCTGGAGATTTTTCTGGATTTCAGTACCTTTGAAAGAGAGAAGAAAGATCTGTTCGCACTTGTTATTCGCTGGTCTATCTCTGTTAGTTGATCATTTATTGAGGTTATTGTGGAGCCGAGGTATTTGAATCTGTCTACTTTCGGGAATGACTTAGAATCCACGCAGATCATGTTATTAGGGTGGATGTTTCGGCTAACTATCATGTATTTTGTTTTATCTACATTGACCTGTAGTCCGATTTGCTCTGCTTCTTTTAATAGAGTCCGAGATCGAGTCTCTCAATATCCTCTTGATTACTTCCGAGGACAGCTATATCATCGGCATATGCTAGGATTTTATGTTTCATTCCAACGTGCACCCCTCCATCTTCGCGTGATGTTATTCTTATTACTTTCTCTAGTGCTAAGTTAAACAGCATCGGCGAGAGTCCATCTCTCTGCCTCAAACCCGTTTGAACTTCAAAGGCTTCAGATACGTCTCCTTGCATTAGTACCCTGCATTTAGGATCATTTGTACACGCCTTCGTCAACCTCGCTAATTTCCTGGGAACACCCAGTTCAGTCATGATCTTCCAGAGACAGTTTCTGTCAATGGAGTCATAGGCTGATTATTTGAAGTCGACAAATAATACGTGTACGTCCTGATCTACTTCCCATCGTTTTTCAAGTACTTGTTTCAGGATGATATCTGATCTAGCGTACTCCTCCCTCTCCTCAATCCTGTTTGATGGTCGCCTATTATGTTTTCATAATACGGATATATTCAATTTAACAGAATATTAGTCATTATTTTATAGGCGACCGGAAGAAGTGCTATGCCTCTGTGATTGCCACATTCATACATGGGGCCCTTCTTAAGGATAGGACAGATCAATCCTGTGTTCCATGCTTCTGGTATCCGTTCTTCTCCCATATCTTCTGGATTAAATCTATTAGCTTGGCTCTGAGTTCTTCTCCCCCATCCTTGAACAATTCTGATGGTAGGTTGTCTATTCTCTAATATATATATATATATATATATATATATATTGTAATGTCAACATTACATGGCATTTAAATAGTGGCTTGAAAGTGGTAACAGCACGAACTACGGGGAGAAAGTGCGTGCAGATGGTGGGGGAAGCAAGCCTCATGTAACTCGGAATGTGACCGGCCGCCAAGAGAGAAGGTTATGAGCCGCCAAAAGAGAATGTGACAAGCTGTCAAGAGAGAAGGTGACAAGCTGAGAAAGTGAAAAAGGAGTCCTAGCCGATTCGAGTGTTGATAAAGGCCACAAGTGGAGATTATTTTATGTTGGAAGAGAATACATTAGAAAAGAATTAAGTGGTACAGAAAACGGGACATTAGTAAGTAAGAAGAGATTATTTCACTGACAGGTGTAAACATTTGGGTGAGTGCTAACAATGCCATTTATGTTGACAGAGGGATAGAACCAAAAGTTTAGACTGGGACAAATTATTTTATAAAACTATTTTAAATTATATATAAGTGTAGTTAGTAATTAGTAAATTAGTGTAGATTATAGTTATTTAATGCTGAATGAGTGTTCAGTTGTCAGAACCCAACCTGAGATTTATGTTATATGTCAAAATAAATAGTATATTGAAAAAGGAAACTCGTTGTTTGATTTTGGAGAGAAAGAGGAACGTTACAATATATTAGGGGGACTAGAAAGTAATGTCGTTTTCTAGTAGTCGTTCTCAGATTTCCCTTTTTGAAATTGTTAATAAAAAAACCCAACAACTCGAAAAAGAGTTGAATTGATTGACTCTTTCTACTAACTCCACATTACATTTATCTACCAAAGGTAAAAAAAACTTAATTTCTACTTTTTTCTTCGGGTCTGTTATGTGTTCATCAAAAGTTTTTTTTTCGGCAATTCAAAATTGAACTACCTTCACCCTTTTAATTTTTGCTTTCTGTATAGTATCACATGGATACTTGACAACATTTGATACAAGGTCCATCAATATAAACCATCTAACAGAGTATCAATTAATATGCCAATATATAACTTTTGTTTTGTTCTTTTGCACAGATTTCCTATATTTACTGATATATCGGCCTCTTTCACATTGGATATAGTTTTTATTGCTAATAAATGTGGTAATCAAACTTAAACGGGTCAGCATAAATTTCAGCAAAAAACGATATATCGGCCCTATGACCTTATTTTATTGAGATTGGTAAAGTTTGCACTGTTTTTTTTCTTGTAAACGTCTTCTAAATTTTCTAGTCATCTCCTTGAATCAATATATCATCCTCTTTCACATTGAATATTATTTTTATTGCTAATAAATGCGTCAATCATTCATCAAGGGATCAACATAAACATAAATTTAAGCTAACCCAATATATAGGCCTTATGAACGTACTTTTTTGAGATTGGTAAAGTTAGAACTTTTTATTTAATTAATTTTTTTCTTTTCAACATTTTCTGATCATCCTCTTGAACCAATATAACAGCGTCTTTCACTTTGAATATTAT